GAAAGAAAGAAAAATAGAGGCTTGCAGAGAGAACTGGCAAAACCACTTTTCCTAATGGAAGCACTTGACTAACTTCAAGTTAGCTTCAGAACCAAACAAAATATAGAAATATTGTTATACTTAAGCTACAAATGGCAACTGCATGTTTATTTATTCTATGTCCCATTAAGTCATCAGAACCCCCAAGCAGGTTACATAAAACATCCATTGTGTACCAATAAAAGGAGAAATTAAAAAGAAGTTTTCAAAATGTTAAAACCAGCAGTTTCGAAAACAGGAAAGCACAGCATATTGTTCTACCTGGAACAGGTGATATTTAGCTAAGAGACGAAACAGCAGTCATTCATTTATTATGGTAGGTCCTATGGCCTGCCCATGCTGATTTCTAAATTCAGAGAAACAACCAACAAATAACTATTTCCTTCCTTTTTACAGTCTCAAGAGACAGGACTGATCCATTTTGCGATTGAAATCACTCTTGAAAAACTGGTATATATACTGCCTAGTTTCAAAAATCAGAGAAAAACTTATAAAAAATAGGAAATTATCAATGCACAACATGAAGATTATAAAGAATTGCTTCTCCACAGAACCATGTCTCAAGATTTATGATGATTATGAATAACTTTTGTAGGTAAAAGAATAAGAGGGAGAGAAAAATACAAATAATGGAGGCATATAATTTGGATAAGAAAATAGGCTTCCAGGTGGAAAAGTCAAAATTAGAAACAGAACTGCTAGAACCCAAAACTAAGAATCTGTCAAGAATGTATAACTTGCTGTTGAAATGGAATACTCAGGATGAAACGGTGAAATCTGCTATGATTAAATGGGCACAAGATTTTGGACATAATATTATGTTTGCTGACTGGGAACAGTTATGGACCACAGGTATGAAGTTTACGGCATGTAATGCCTTAAGAGAGAATATTATGAAAATGATATACAGGTGGTACATGACCCCAGTCAAGCTTGCAAAAATCTATCACTTGCCCGATAATAAATGTTGGAAATGTAAAGAAACTGAAGGTACATTCTTTCACCTTTGGTGGACGTGCCCAAAGATCAAGGCTTTCTGGGAAATGATATATAATGAATTGAAAAAGGTATTTAAATATACCTTCCTGAAGAAACCAGAGGCCTTTCTTTTGGGCATTGTCGGCCAATTGGTGCCAAAGAAGGATAGAACCTTTAATAAATATCATATAAAAAAATAAATAAAATAAGAGGGAGAGAAAAATAAGGTTAATTTGGATGAAGAGTGTCACAGGTATAGGCTTGTATGATAAGATTGTTATAAGGTCTCCTAGGATATTATTGTGAAGGGCAGGAATGGAATGTTATTGGTAATAAAAACAAACACTGAAATAAATTTCTTTAAAATCAATATGATTTCTTGTTCTACTAATTCTCCCTTCCTTCCTTCCTTCCTTCCTTCCTTCCTTCCTTCCTTCCTTCCTTTGGTAATTGCTTTAAGGTTTAACTGTACACATTCTCAAACAATTAATCACCCAGATACATGGATCATGTTAATGACTTACAAGCAAGACGAAAAAGCGGGATGTTAGAAACAAGAAACTACAGGTTTCATAAGGAAGAGCAGGCATTAATAAGTGGAAAGTCTGCTGATTGCATATGGCAGAATTCCCTCTAACATTTAGAACCAGCAAGAATTTCTAGGACAAAAGAATGCTTGTTTTGTCACTGGGCAGAATGTTACAAGCAGATGGTACTCACATAACAAAGATGACTATGAATTGGCATCAATAGGTGCTTTCTGGGAGAAAGTATGGGATATAAATGTTAAAGCTAAGTATATTTACAAGATTCCAGCTTCTTGCCTGTAGTTAGTTCAAAAACGTCTTCTCCAACCCATCTTCCAAAAGTGCAGCTTTCAAAAACGAAATTTTATGCCTGACCAAAAACAAAGGGCAGAGGAGGGAAAGTGGAAAGCGCTGAATAAAATGTAGGTTTTTGTAAGGGCCTCCAAAGTGTAGTCCATAAGGAACACACGAAGGTACATGGATCCTTTTGTCCATTATTCTGATTTGTCAAAAAACAAAAAACAAAACAGAAATAGCAATAGGATGGACACTGTAAGGGCAGGACTACTTAATTTATTTACTTGAATAAGCTTTTATTAAGACTTTTTTGTAATACAATACAATAAAATGAACTAATCTAGATAAAAACCAAAACGAAGAAAGAGAGAAAAGAAAATGCACCCAGGGGCTTTCCTTCCATCCCTTTACCACCTTCATGTTAATCCAAAACAGAGGCCAGCAATGGAAGAGAAAAGAAAATAGAAATAAGGAACAAGATAAAAAGAAGGAATGTAAGTAACAGGGGGAAGGCAAGAAAGAAAGAAAGAAAGAAAGAAAGAAAGAAAGAAAGAAAGAAAGAAAGAAGAAAGAAAGGTAAACAGGACTTCTGGTTTTCCACCTGTCATTTACATAAAAGAAATCATCCAAAACATTCATTCTAATAGGACATCTGAGTGTTCTATTTTCAACTGAGCAATTTCAGACCCAAACGTTTCAAGTTCACTTCTTTTCCTTTCCACACAAAAAAACCCAAAAGCAGTTCTCTAATTACTATTATCAGCAATGGGGGACACCTGTCTTACTAGCAGTACATGTGAAAAGGATCTAGGGGTCTTGGTGGACCACAAGCTAAACATGAGTCAAAAGTGTGATGCAGCAGCAAAAAACCAAGATAATGCTATTCTAGGCTGTACCAGCAGAAGTATAGTGTCCAGATCACAGGGAAGGAGTAATACTGCTCTGTTATGCCTTAGTGAGACCATGCTTGGCGTATTGTGTCCAGTTCAGGGCACCACAATTTAAGAAGGATCATAGAATCACAGAATTGCAGAGTTGGAAGGTAACCCTGAGGGTCATCTAGTCCAACCCCCTGCAATTCAGGAATCTCAACTAAAGCACCCAACCACTGCTTTAAAAATTCCAAGGAAGGAGAGTCCACAACCTCCTGAGGGAGATTGTTTCAATGTTGAACAGCTCTTACTGTCAGAAAGTTTTTCCATATTTTTAGTCGGAATCTCCTTTTTTGTAACTTGAAGCCATTGGTTCGAGTCCTATCCTCTAGAGCAGGAGAAAACAAGCTTGTTCCCTCTTCCATGTGACAGCCCTTAAGATTTTTGAAGATGGCTATCATATCTCTTCTCAATCTCCTCTTTTCTAGGCTAAACGTACCCATCTCATTCAAACACACCCAACTCCTTCCATACCCTTGATCATCTTGGTTGCCCTTCCTTGGTTGACCACTCTGAACATGTTTGAGTTTGTCAACATCCTTCTCAGGAGTGATGTATGGAAGTGAGAGCTGGACCATAAAGAAGGCTGATTGCCAAAGAATTGATGCTTTTGAATTATGGTGCTGGAGAGTCCCATGGACTGCAAGAAGATCAAAGCTATCCATTCTTAAGGAAATCAGCCCTGAGTGCTCACTGGAAGGACAGATCCTGAAGCTGAGGCTCCAGTACTTTGGCCACCTCATGAGAAGAGAAGACTCCCTGGAAAAGACCCTGATGTTGGGAAAGACTGAGGGCACAAGGAGAAGGGGACGACAGAGGACAAGATGGTTGGACAGTGTTCTCGAAGCCACTAACATGAGTTTGACCAAACTGCGGGAGGCAGTGGAAGACAGGAGTGCCAGATGGTACACAGGGCAGGCATGTATTCTTCCCTGCAATTCCTGAAGGAATGGTGGCAGGTCATAATATATGCTCCCATTTGTCCATCTCATCAAGTGTTTCCCTTTCGAGCTGCTCTTACTGAGTGAGTGGCTCCCTTATTCGGGAGATAGGCAAGTTCCTTGTTTGGGATAGGGTTGCTCTCCTTCTGAAGTGTGTAGCTTACAGGTACTCTTGTATATGTCTTTGTCATTAGAGGCCATAGTGCCCTCTGTGGCTGGGAGTGCCTGCTACCAGCTCCATCTCATACACCAGCTGTTCCTGGACAAATCTAGCCTGACCACTGTTGTCTATGCACTGGTAGTCTTGAGGCTGCATTACTGCAATGAGCTCAGTGTGGAGCTGCCCTCAGGCCTAATTCAGAAGCTCCAGCTTGTGCAGAATGTGGAGGCCACATCGCAGATGGGAGCATCTGCCCAAGAACATGTGATACCCCTGTTAAAACATCTGCACTGGCTGCCAATGTGAATCAGGTTCAAGGTCCTTGTTTTAATCTACAAAGTCCTGAATGATGTTGGTCCAGAGTACTTTAAGGACTGCCTGAAAGCTTATAAAATGGTTTGGTCCCTGAGACTGTCATCAGCAGTGTCAGGAGTCATTCCCCAAGTTGGTGATGGGTATTTGGCAGCAATAGGAGAATGAGCCTTTTGCATCATCAACCCAGTACTGTGGGAACCTCTGTCAACAGAGATTCAGCAGGCGCCTTCTATTTCGACTGAAACATTTGTTTTCTGTCAGATTCAGGTATGAAATTTAGAATACATCTTCCCAACACAATAGGCTCATTTCTGATTTAAGCATTTTCTCATGGTTTTATTGTATGATGTTACCTATAATTGTTGTAAACGGCCCTGATGTTCTTTAAAAATATATGAACAGTGGTATATACATATGTTCATAAATATACAAATAAACTTTCATCTGCGGAGTGAGAGCAAACACTTTCCTGCTAGGCCTGAGCCATCACAACCTAGGAGAGACATTTAATGCCATAAAATCTTAAGTGGAGCAGACAAAGGGGTGTGTGTGTGTGTGTGTATGTGTGTAATTTGAAACTTTTAAAAAACTTAAAACCAACGTCGGGGGGGAAATAAATAATAACACTCCAGAAAACATACCTCCCCTCCTATAAAAACATCACATTTAAAACACTTAGAACAAACAGACATTAAAATCATGATTGTGATGAGCAGACTGAAAATGACTGTAGCTTTGTAATATATTCCGTTTCTCAGGTAATTTACTTCACACACATCCTCACCAATTTGCCTTCAGGGAAATGACTGTCATGGCAGCAAATTGTGGAACTATCAAACGCATCACCAAGGGCCGCCATTTTGTGATTGTCTATGCCACCTGCAGCAACGGTAAACACTCAGGCATCCTACAGTGGTCATTTTGCGACTATTTCTGTTTTTAACCTATCTGTTAAGCACACAAAGATCAACGTCCTGTCTTAAGTTCATTCTGGCCTATATCTTGGAGGCAAGTACAGATCATAGCTATGTGCCTTATCACCTACCCTAATTCTGAATCTTTGATCCATGCTTCCCACTGCCCCTGGTATGTCTTCTGTTCTTGGTCAGACATAAGCTTCCATTTTTGAAAGCTGCACCACCTTGGGTGGGTGGGTGGGGGACATCAGTCTGTTCCAAATATAGATAGAAAGCTGGTTTTGGGTGTGAGGATAGAATTTAAACCAAACCTAATTAATGAGAGCTGATAATTTACGGTAAATAAAGTTGAAAGAGGATGGTATCTACGATCTGGTACATTGGTGGGAGATAGAGGCTATCAAAGAAGTGAGGTGTGTCAAGGAACAACAAGGCAAGGAACAAGCCACAGGAGTGGAATGTTCCTGAAATTATTAAAGCTGGATTCAGTTAAAAGAAGAATGGAGGTGTGTGTGTAGGATGAAATACTACAGTTAAATGCACGAAGTAGCATATAAAAAGGAAACTCCACAGAGGGTTGCAAACTCCTCTTTGTGAAGGTGAAGACACCTATTATGACCACCTGAAACGTCTTTGTCTTCCACTTGGGGATTGTGAGTATGCTCTCTCAGGTTGTATTAGTTGCAAGGAAAGAATTGTTTCCCTTGCAGGGGAAAAGGACTTCTACACAAGCCTCTTCTTTTTCTCTTTCTTGCTAGAGCCTTTTAGAGAGGAGGAGGAAGAGATGGGTATCATACCGAATCCTTTGTTGTTGGTTGTCCCAGTGCTTTGCGTGAACTGAATTCAACTTCATTGGTCTTGCAGTGTTAATATTATGTGCTTTGCTGCACACTATGTGCACTCGTAAGATACAATGGGTCAGAAATGAATAGGGAGAGGTTTTTCTCCCATTCACAACACAAGGATCATCCAATGAAGCTAAATTTTGGAACTTAAAGCACAAGAACAGCTAAAAGGGAGCAGTAGCGGAACTTAGGCCCTCAAATTTCAGTGCCCTGTGCAATGCTAAAATTTGGTCATCCCCCCCACCTCTCACACTCTGTTCTACATCATGATTGGAGCCCCCCCCCTCAGGGGACGCTGGCACCCAGTGGGGCTGAATTGGTTGTGTTACTTTAAAACCGCCTCTGAAGGCAGGGGTATTCCACAAACTGTATATTTTAACTAGAATCAGACACACAAAACTGTTCTGATACGAGGAATGACTTTCTGAGCTTAGTGTGAAATATGCCTAGTTACTAACAGTTTTACCAAGTCTTACCAAACAAGAACTTAGTAGAAAAATCAGTGGCATAGCAATTAGCTAAACCTAAGCACAATTGTGGCCCACCAGGGACTTCTGAGCAAAAAGCTTCAAGATAATATTGGTTGTTTACCTTTTATACCTATGAAAGATATAGCCAATAATAATACTTACTAATAAATAAATTGTGGTGCCCAGAACTGGACGTTGTATTTCAGGTTTGGTCTGACCAAGACATAAGGGAGTACTACTATTACTTCCCTTGATCTGGACACTATATTTCTGTAGATGCAGCCGAGAAAAGCTGCTGCATCACACAGTTGACCCATGTTAAGCTTATGGTATGCTAAGACCCCTAGATCCTTTTCACATTTACTGCTAGTAAGCCAGGTGTCCCCCATCTTTTATTTGAGCAGCTGGTTCTTCCTGCCTAATTACAGAACCTTACATTTGTCCCTACTGAAAGTCATGTTGTTAGCGTGGGCCCAGTTCTCCGATCTGTTACGGTCATATGAAATCTCAATTTTGTCTTTTGCGGCATTAGGTACACCTCTTGGTTTGGTGTCATCAACAAATTTGATTCTCGTCCCCTAAATTCCTTCATCCAAATCACAACAATGCACAACAATGGGCCCAGGATAGAACCCTGCAGCACCCCACTTGTCACTTTTTTCCAGGATGATGAGGAACCATTAATGAGCACTGTTTGGGTTTGATCAGCTAGCTACAAATCTACCTAACAGTTATCTCATCTAGCTCACATCTACCAACTTCTCTACAGGAATATCACAGGGGACTTTGTCTTGCTCTGTATACATTCTGGGGCATTGAGCTTCAGGAACTGTAGGTAGTAATTCTTTCGCTTCCACAGTTGCATTGGACTCTTATCTGGCATGAACTTTATTGGTGTTTTGATAATCAGGCAATGTCCTTTTTTATTGTCCCTAATATATATAATATATATATTAAAAATATATATAAAAATATATTGTGTGTGTATATATATATATATATATATATATATACACACACACACACACTATATATATATATTATATATATATATATATACACTATATATATAGTATATATTAAAAATATATACTCTAGCAACTGCTATAGTTGCTGTTTTTATCCTGCTCTTTACTCACGGTTACATTTTTATCAATGTGATTTATATCAGGTGTCCTTGAAGAGTGCATACTGAAATCATTGCCTCATAAGGAATTGCCACATCCAGCCAATCAAGATCTCAGTCTACAAAGTTGAGAGAGAGAGAGAGAGAGAGAGAGAGAGAGAGAGAGACAGAGAGAGAGACAGAAAGAGAAGCCTGAAGGGAAGACAATGAGTGTTCTACTTAGAGGCAGTATTTGCACTATTCTCATGCTCTTGGCTAGGGCAGAGCCAGGACCTGCTTATGCGGAAGTATTAAGGAGTGATCCACGAATCTTGAACCTGGCTATTTGGCTCAAATTAAAAACCATGAAGGTGTTTAACGATATGTGTAAGGGACTAGGCACATGCGACATGTACTGGGAACATATACGTTCGAAAGAGTTCATCCTTCCAGAAGCCGACGCGGTAAAAGTATGCTTCCCACGTAGATTTGATAAGGAAACATGTTTAAGAAAACTTGCAAGTGGACTTTTGGTGTTTAGAGTATACTTGGAATATCTACAAGAAACTTTATATCCCGATAAGCCACAGCTAACTAATTATCTATGGCCATCAACAAGTCGCCTGGTAGCTGCCTTCAAGTCAATGATGAATGAACCTGAAACTGCCACCTCTATGGATGAAGAGGCTAGGCAAAATATTGCTAATGTCCTAGTGAAACAAAATGGTTGGATGAAGGTAATTATTAGGCATATTATATTTAGAAAGTATATATCATTTATGGATCTAACGGCAAGGGCGATTCTCGTCATAAGATCACGAGCAACTTCTTAGAAACGGAATGACCCAGAGTTTTTAGACACAGTTAATAATGTGCATCAACTGCCACTTACGAGAAAATTACCATGTGGATAAAGAAAACGGCTCAGAGTTTAGCAAGAAAAATGATTAAGAATCTACACTGTAACCCACAGGTGGGCCTGCTCCCCAGATCCTAATCTGCCCCCACCTGATGGAGCAACCTTGACAGGTAGCCACAATGCACACCTGTCCATCACCGGGTGTCATAATGATGTCACGTGATGAACACTTGTCAAAATCAAAGGAGATCACCATCAGAGCAGACTCTGAATATGTATTTTCAGGTCCAATCTGCTGATTGTGTCTAAGAGTAGAACTTCAGTGAGGCTCACTTTAATCAACAATCAGCCCGTTAGAGGTAGACCTTCTGAAATGGAGGCAAAACACTCTTAACAGTGAAGAATTTATGGAGGCAAACACAACTACTTCTAAAATTGGAACGTCCCCCCTTCTGCAGAGAAAACAGTATGCCTTTACAGCACTTCCCATAATGCTTTGAATCCAAACGATTGCCTTCAGCAAGAAAAATAATAAGAAAGATGCTCCTTTAAAAACTGGTGCAGTTTTTCTTTGTAGATAAAACATGCACAGCTCCCGGTGCAGAGTATCCCAAGCACTGGACAATGAGCTGACTGGTTGCTTGCAAAGCTCTTCACTGAACACTTCTGGGATTCCCACAACATCTGAAATGTTGCAGGCTGGCCATCCCTGTCTTAGCAGCACATATTCTTCTTCTTCAGCATTTGGTCTATGATGATTTATCAAATATTTTTGAAGTTAGAGCAGATTTTCAATGTTCAGCCTTCTGGAATTGTCTTACTTGCCTTCCCAGTGCAAAGGTTAACTTTTTTTGAAAGTTAAAGGATGGAGAGGCACTTTTTAAAAAAATATTTTTTATTGAATGATTTTATGTTACAAAAAACAATACAGCCATACTACCACTAAATATAATTAAGAAATAAAAATTACATACATCAATATTTAGTTTGTTATTTGTTATTTACCATCTTATTTCCTCCCAAACATTGCATACAACAACACACATATGTGCAGACACCCACACACCCGCACACAAAATGATAATAATGAAAGTAAATATGTCCCCCCCTTTATCTTCCAAAATCTTTTCTTCAACTTTGACTTCCTGTCAACTCCCTTTGCATATATTTTATCTTACATTTGAATGTACACAAAACAATAAACCTTTCTATATAATTTTTCTAATACATTCTGAAAACATAATAAATCCTTAATTGTTATCCACCTCTTTTTAGTTCCTTTATCACTCGAATGCTAGCACAGAGTCAAAACTATTATTGTATTTTTGAACATATCTTCTATAACCATCCCATTTTTCCGCAAATTTTTGCTTTGAGTTTCCTCTGAGTTTACTAGTCAATTGAGCCGTCTCCACCAATTCCTGTAATTTGATTTGCCAATCTGTTATTTTTGGAGCCTCGTGATCTTTCCATCCCTTGGCCACAAGTATACGAGCCGCTGCGGTTGCATACAAGAATACCTCTCTTAGATTTTTTTGGGATCTCTTTATCTATAATACTTAATAGAAATGCCTCCAGTTTTTTAGTAAAAGTTATCCCCATCATCTTTTTTAATTCATCATATATTTTCCCCCAAAAAATCTTAATATTTTACACACCACATGTGGATCATGCCACCGTTATTTCCTCCACATCTCCAGCAAGCATTCTTGATAATCTGGAAGGAGTGAGGTACCACCTATCAGCCATTTTCATCATGTTCTCTCTTATATTATAGCTGGCTGTAAATTTCAAATTTACCTGATGCAGAGGCACTTTCACTTTTTCTTTCATTATACTTGCCCGACCATCTATGTCCCTCACTATTATCCCTTGCACATTTTGTGACCTTATAGGAGTAGAATTTAGATGATCTTTGACTGTGGCTGTTAGCTTCAGGAAACTTGAAATATAGACATATTACTGTAACCAAGCTCTATACTACAACTCCATATTCATTCGTTTCTTAATATAACAGGTTTTACGTACCATCCAGTTATCAGAACCTCTAAGCAACTTATATAAAATATACAGTAATAAATTAAAAAGAGATGTTAAAAACAGGGTTTCAAAAATATAAATGCAATCAGCTTCGAAAACAAGTATGTATCACAAATGGTCTCACCTATGAAAAAAAGAAGTGGATCATTCATTTATTCTGGTAAGAACATTCCCAACGTAAATTTAGAATAACAACCAATGTCTTGCTATTTCCCTTCCTCCATAAAACATAAAAGACAGTGCTGATCCATCTCCTGTTTGACATCACTCTTGTAAAAATGGTACATGTACTGATTAAATCCAAAAATCAACAATATTTCTCTTTCATATTGCTATTAATGCACTACATCCAGATAGCAAGTTTTTGCTTCTGAACAGGAAAATGTTGCCATGTTCATTGTGATTAATTTTCCTTCTTGAGTGTTTGAGACAAAGAGAGATGTACGATAAATTTGGATAAATCAGCATCCAAGGCACAAATTCTTATTATACAATTGTTCTAACCTGTCCTGGGACCTTTTGGGGAAGGCCATGTAAGAAAAATATATATAAATGAATATACAACTGCAATAAAATCAATGTCCTTCAAATCAAGATAATTCCTATTTTTTTATACATCCACTGAGGTCCAAGTGTACTGTGCCCTAAACTATTGTTTATCCAGATGGATGCTTTATTTTGGTCACTTATATGACCAAATATTCTGATTTATATTCTGTATCCAGGGCAGCTGTCTCCCAGCTCCATCTGGTACGCTGGCTGAGACCCTACCTGCCTGCACACAGGAATGAGGAATGGGGAGAATTGAGGAGGTCCTCACCCCAGTTCCCACCACCCTCACTTAAAATGGTGGAGGCAGTTGGATAATGGCCTGGGAATAGGACCTACCATCAGGGCAGTTGATTGGTTAGATCAGGAACCAGATCATATAGGGTTTTTTTTTTTAAGGTAAACCCAGAAAAAACCTAGAATCCAGCACATTTTTCCACTACCAGTGAGACACATTGCCACCATCTGTCAGCAGCTAAGTGGCCATATTTTGAGGAGTCAGACAGTCTCCACAGGCAGACCCAAATATGAAATAGTCCAATGGTTTAATCTGGAGGTCACCAAAAGTTGTGTTACTCTGACTAATCCATACTTAACCTTCATGAAGATTATTTCTCATCCCAGATTTTAGGTTCACCAGAAGAGGGGTTGTTGGCATCCATATGTCTTGAGAGACCATGGAGTGCACCTCTGGGGGTGAAGTCAAATCTTTGGAGAATCACAGCACCTGCTGTGGCTGCAGAGAATGATAATTCACAATGGACACTTCCTGTGTTTTTGCTGACCTCCCTGGGGCACAAGCCTGGTGGAATGTATGGAGGTTCTGGGCTGCACAGATGACAAGATTCCCCTCTTGGTCTCACTATTGTGCTCCAAAAGAAAGCAGAGCAATATGTTTGGCACCAGCTTGGCTGCAGGAGTTGCTGCAAGGAGGCGTACAAGGCAGAATCTAACCATCCTAGGGACTCCACTCTGGATTTGTGTAGGACAGGCATGGCCAAACTTGGCCCTCCAGATGTTTTGGGACTACAACTCCCATCATCCCTAGCTAACAGGACCAGTGGTCAGGGATGATGGGAATTGTAGTCCCAAAACATCTGTAGGGTTTACATCTTAGCCTTCATAAATGCAAGGGTGCTTTCCATGGGAATCTTCAAAAAGAATCTGTCCATCAACTTGTGATAGTGAATTCCATATTTTGACTATGCATGTAAAGTATCCCTTCCTTTTGGCTATCTCAAATCTTCCAAAATTCAGCTTCACTGGGTGATCTGGGGCTCCTGGGTTCTGCAAGAGGGAAAGCAACTTCTGTCTATCCACCTTCTCCCCCCCTTGCATGGCGTGAGTCCATAAACTGTAATCATTTCCAGGTTGTAATCTGCTTTTTTATTTTCTCTCTCTTTAAAATATAAAGTAGCAGTATAGAAATGAAATTATTATTAATAATAACAATAACAACAACAGCTGTAGGCAGTTATTTCATTATAAGTTTCTGAATTATTTCTGCATCTGTTTCTCATCTTGGGAAAGGAAGCTTAGATGTGGAAGAACATCTAAGAGAGCCAGTGTGGTGTAGTGATTAAGAGCGGTAGTCTCGTAATCTGTGGAACCGGGTTTGCGTCTCTGCTCTCCACATGCAGCTGCTGGGTGACCTTGGGCTAGTCACACTTCTTTGAAGTCTCTCAGCCCCAGTCACCTCACAGA